CAGTGAATCCGTGCTGATTTCCTTTCAGCATTATTTCCCCTGCTGGGCTCCCACAAATGTGATCATTAATGATTTTTTCCAGAGTTTTCCTAAGGATAGAGGTGAGACTAACTGGCCTATAGTTTCCCAGGTCCTCCCTCCTCCCTTTCTTGAAAATAGGGACCACATTGGCCCTTTTCCAGTCCTCTGGGACCTGACCGAAGCACCATGAGTGCTCAAACAGCCATGCCAGCGGCTCTGCTATGACACTGGCCAACTCCTTCAGCACCTTTGGATGAAGTTCATCCAGGCCCACTGATTTGAACACATCCAGCCCTCCAAGTGTCCCTTCACTAAGTCTGCGCTAACAGTTGGTGAACTGGAGTCTGTCCTGTGTCTATCTACAGTCCAATTGGGAGATTTTTCTTGGTCCGTGTCTAGGAATACACATGCAAGAAACTCATTGAAGAGCTCAGCTCTGTCCCCCGTCTCCTACATCAATTACCCTAGTTTGTCCTGTAGGGGTTCTATGCTACCCTACACCTTCCTTTTGCTCCCTATGTACCTGAAGAAGGACTTTTTGTTGTCCTTAATTTTTGTTGCCAGCCTAAATTCTAATCCTGCTTTGGCCTTCCTAACTGACTCCCTGCAAGTGCGAGCCTCCTTGGTAGCTACCCCGTGTTTCCACAGCCTGTATAACTCTTTCTTTGCCCTTAGGCTTTCCTGGACTTCCCAGTTCAGCCAAGAGGGCTTCTTGGCCCCTTTGCCCCATTTGACATGCAATGGGATTGTCTCCTTCTGCGCCTGTAGGATCACTCCCTTGAGAAACAACAACCCTTCCTGGATCCCCATTTTGCCAATGCTCTTGAGCTTTAACACCTCCCTAACTAATCTCCTGAGCACACTGAAGCTAGTCTTTCTGAAGTCTGGCACTTCAGCCCTGCTGGTTAGTTTACCCTCCCTTCACCGGATAGTAAAGTCAATCAATCGATGGTCACTATCCCCTAGGTTACCTTGATAAAATTGCTATTGCCAATATTCCAAGCATAATTTATGCTTTCCAAACAAGCATAAAGTGGGCCATTATTAGCACTTGCATTCCAATAAAAGCTATGTCTGTACTATGTGAGCTTTGCCAGGCTACCAACATGAACAAAACTTTTAATTGCAGTCTAGGTCTGAGCTCTGTGTGCATAGAACTATAGACATGCAGGGATGCAATGAGCTTCAAGAGGTCATCTCATCCAAACCCCTGCTCATGGCAGAATCATGTGTGTGTTCATAGGTTTATCAGTTACAAATAAAATAGATGGCTATTCCTTTATGGTCTACCAAACATAAAGCAATATATATATTAGTAAAGCAGTTGGCACTAAAAACAGATATTCCACCCACGTATTATTTGTATTCTTACCTCACTAAAAATTCCTATTATTTTCAAGGAAAGACTAATGCAGGACTCTGCCCACTTTTTAGATGGTTTTGAATATTCAGTTGTTAAATTGCCCACTAGAGGGAGTCTGGAAGTCTACTGAAATGACAAAGGGAAAAATCCTTGAATGATTTCCCTTTGAGCGCAAAATGATGTGCATTACCTCTTTCAATCAATCCTCTCAAGCCAGATTTTCACGTGCTCAGCACCCACATCTGTGGATGATTTCCCAAGAGTTCAACTCCTATTTGACACCTAAATAATCACCAGACTTTCCAAAGAGTGAAGCACACAATAAACTGAGCTGTGTTGAAAATATGCCCATTTAATTTGGTGCCTAAATAAGTCCTGGACACTTCTAAAAGGCTGGCCACAATTATGAGTGCTGAAGAATTAAAAAAAGATAGCTCAAAATGCTTCAGTGCAAATCAAACTTAACACCTGGATTGACAAAGCAGAAAAATGATAGAAAAAAAAAATAGGACCTCTCTTCTTAGTTGATGGGTTGTTGTCTTAAAGGAATCTCACTCTCAGCTTTTGGATTATGCGCAAATGCTGACACAAGTAAGTGCCGGTGGTGAGATTTACTTGCCAAATATTAAATAAGTGGATTCCGTGCCTGCTAATATGCTAATCTGAGCATGAGGGTGTTTGCGCATGTAAATCAGTATACATGGAAAAGGTTTGGAGAACTGGAGCCAAGTGAGGTGTCTTCTCCAGCCCTTAGGAAGCAGATCTCCTTTTCCTCACATTTCAGCTTTGTTTCCCGGTAGCTGACACTCTGACTGGCTCCAGAGGACTTGTCTGCAAGCGTTTGTGCACAGTAAGCGGCGTGCGGAGGACGAGCGGGACCAGGAGGAGGGCACTGTGAAAACCTGGCTGTGAGAAGTTGTTCGATGATCTTTGAATGCTTGTGGATTTCTGTGCGTCAGTCCGCGTGCACGGTGAAATGAGAAAACACCCACGTCAGTAAAGAACTTGGCCATTTGTGGGCTCTCGAAGCGGGTTACTAATGCCATAAATTGTTTCAAAGAAGAGACTGTCTGCACTCCTTTGAAAGATACACTTCCACAGGCTTTCTAGTACAGTTCGTGTATGCACTAAAAGTACTGCACAGGGGTTTGATTATGACTGCTGTGTTGCAGTTTTTACAGTTGAGTGGGTGACACCCCATTTCACCTAACTGTGTGTAATAATATTTTTAATTACCCCTGTGTTTCATACAGAATAATGATTTTGTAATAAGATCAGAGACATACCTACTTTTCCTCCCTTGTATTTGAAAGGTGCACACGGGATATACCTAATTAGAAATGTATTCTCTTTGGAAGAGAAATCTGTGTCTGCTATGGGTTGAAATGCGAACTAATTACCATCACATGGAAGCTCATGCACTGTGTCTGGTTCTTAATATTTGACATTAAAGGTGTCTGCTTGCATGTTGATACACGCTGAATTAAACTTTGGGGAATATGACTCCAATCCCAGTTATAATCACAGAAGGAGGCCTCTGTGAAATGAGCTGATGCATTCAGACCTTCTGCTGCTTTATTTTGTGTTTGGATTTAGTGCTTGTGAAAGGTGCCAGACTGAAATCTCCTTATCTACCGTACAGATAATGCAGGCAGCAACAATGGAAGCTTCTCTGTGTTGTGCGGTAGCACAAGCCTAGAGGGAACTCCTTAAGCCTGAGAATTATGTTTGTCTCCACAACCCATTGATGCCAGACAGCAAACACAAAGCTGACAATTAAATACTTTAGGCAAGACTTTTTCTTAGCTTTGCATAGATGCCTAAAGTGGGGGAAAGCCTCTTGAGCGTTCAGGTGGTGACTGGGCGCACCAGCTACAAGTGTTCCCGAGCTCAGAAGGCAGCAGATGCCCTTCTCAAAGATGACAGGGTGGATGTACCTCTTGGGCCTTTCGCTGATACAGTATTCCTGCCTAACAACCCCCAAAGCAGCACAGTGTCTCAAAAGCCAAACATCTCTTGTTGGCATTTTTAAGCACAATGAACTTGTCTGTGTATAAATATGACCAGATTAGATAAAGAACTTTTCAAAATCAGTGACTTCTATGTACTGCACCCTTGGCACTGTTATAATCACCCAGGGGCTTTTGGAGGTTGGGAGGGTTCCTGGAAAGTAAATCAGGATATTATTTTTTTCACCTATCTGTTTAAGGAATTAAAAAGCCCCACATGGAGCCAGATCCTTATCTCATATAGATCTGCACAGTTTCCACTGAAGTTAGATGAGTTGCCTATAGGATTTCTTCTTCTTCTTTTTAAAAGGAACACTGTGAAAAGTAGTTTGTGCTCCCCCCCCCCCTTTTTTATCATTTGATTTGGTGTAAGGCATAAGCATGTGCATGAACGCCACATGCCCCTGGAGCCTGGGAGGGAGCACAGTGACTGCCCACAGATGGCGGTGGTGGCGGCGTGGTGGTGGTGAGTGGGGATCTCCAACAGGCAGTCACAGCAGTGGCTGTTGCAGGCCAAGAGGGGAGCTCCTGTAGGCAGTCATGGTGGTGATGGCAGGGGGGGGGAAGGGGAGTGGCGAGTGCCAACCAGTGGTTGGCAACCACCCACAGATGCCACCAGCAGCATCGGCAGTGGCCAGCAGTGATCAGGAACCGCCTGCAGACGCCGCCGGCGGTGTTGGCGGCAAGGGGAGTGGGGTGGTGAGTGGCGACCACCTGCAGACGCTGCCGGCAGTGTTGGCAGCAAAGGTGGGGAGGGAGGTGAGTAGTGCTTGCCCACAGGTATTGCCAGCAATGTTGGCGGTGCTTTTCACAAGGGGTGCACTGCCAATCTCAGAGGGTGCACGTGCACCATTGTCTCGCTTCCTCTCTCAGTGGCTGTGGAAAATGTAGTGGTGTTCTTGGTTCTCCTATTAAATATATCATGTCTTAGCTGGTTGGTCTTTTACCTGGAAGCACCTCTGACAGCTAATGGGATTCTGGGATTGTAAGAAACTGAAGCAATTAACTTGGAAGGAAGAAGGGATTCTTTTTGTTATTTTGCTTACATGGTATTTTTTCCCCTCTTACACAGCTACTTATCTCCAAGGCTAAGTACACAGTCAAAAAGCCTGTGACTGAATCTATTCAATTTTTGCAGGTTAGTTTAAAATGAACAGATTAAATTGAAACAGAAGTGAATGGACATTTACCTTTGATTCAGTAAATGCAGCCACATGCCTGCAGTGGCTCAGGCCAGAAGCCAAGGGGCACTAGAGCATGGCTCTCTGGGTATGTGTTACATTCCTCTTCCTGCTGCCTGCAAGGTCTCTGGATTTGCAGACTTACAGCAGCAGGACTCTGCAGGGTTGCTCATCACTTCCTCTTCTGAATTCCAGGTGCCTCTGGGATTTGTAATCCACAGTTGCAGCCAGAAGTAAGTTTGAGTGTGGAAAGGGGTGTTTAACCCCGCTCCCTGGCCCCAGCCCCCAGCTGGGGTTTACAGGGGAGGCAGCCTCCCCTTGCAGATTGGGCTGCATCCCCAGTAGACTCAGCTGTCTGCTCTTGTGTCTGATTGAAAAACAACAGCAAATAAAACTAAAAGATGAACTGACCAGAGGGAGGCACGTTTGGCTTGTGCTCCTTTTGATTTCATCAGCAAAGATTTTAGAAAGGGCTATTTCCTTCAGAGTCTGGTTTTTTTTAACCTTAGAAATATCAGGACTGTCAAGTCCTATCTCCCTTGTTTTTGCTGGACAACCTGTTGGACAGAAGCGCTTTGTCAGGCATCCACTGAAAGGGCAGGTATGTTTCATATTTCATGAAAGGCCTTTTAAAATCAGCATATAGGTTTAAAAACATGCTACTTAAAAGGTTTTAACTAAAGTTTGTTTGAACACTGGCATAGATAAAATTTAACAATTTTCAAAGTATGTCAGCTGGTCATTATCAGCTCCAAGGTCTCTACCAGAGCTGTTCCCGATCGGCAGGGCTCTGGGTTTTCCATTTCCCATGGAAAAACAGAGAAAACCACAGATTTTACCTTTTACTGGAGCAAATGTGGATTTCTCATTTTACTGGCAAAATCCATGGGTTTCTCAGCTTTCAATAAGCCCGCTGCAGGATGGCAAGATGGCCTATATCTATTTGCAGATATCTATCATAGACTCATATGATATGAGTCATATCTATTTTGTGCGCTGACCATTAGAGGAGGAAAAGACCACATTCAAAGTGTAGATCACACTTCTGCAGGGCTTCAGAGAAAGTCCCAAATTAGCCTGGTCTGTTCTGCAGAACGAGAGAGAAAATTCTTTGCAGCGGTCGACTTTTGTTTTCACTCGAGTGTTTGAAGCCGTTCCTGTAGAATACTTTTCAGAAGGGCCTAGGGGTTGATAGTGTAATAAATGACAACATGAGCGAGAGGAGACTGACAGGATAAAAACATTTTACTTAGCTGAGTCTCATGAGTCATTATCCTGGCACCGAAGTTGCTATTGAGGTCTCGTTATTTTGGTGATTCCTCTCTCTTGCAGCCCAGTGGGACTGCATTTCATTTTACACTGAGTCAAAGTCAAACAATGAGGCCCTCTGTTTTGCAAATCAGTAACACAAGCATAGATATTTGCAAAGATCAGTGTGCTCACACATGTACACCCCAGGTTTTGCTAACACCTAAAACTGTCTCAGGTTACAACGCTTCATGTGAGGGGATGTAACAGGACATAATCCCAAATGAAATAGCGTGAGGAAATGGTCTCCCCCCCACCCCAAGTGTTGAAAAAGTTGGCAGAGTGCTCTGGAGAACTAGATATCTAATGACAACCCACAGGCAGTATGAGATGACAGATACATGTTTAAATAATGTCTTTATTTCAATTCAGCTGAAAAAATAATCATTAAACTTGGGTCATACGCTCATTAACTAAAACCTCTCAAACTCTACAGCTATGTTAGAATGAAGACACTGCATTACTCGTTTATACAGAGTATTAAAATACTCTCATTCTTATAGGAGGAGAGAGGAATTTAGAGGATGACCTTAAAGTTCCCCCAGATTTGAAGAATTTTGCTAGATTCAGGGAGAATCCTTGGTGTTAAAAAGGGGAATTCTAGTACAACAGGAGCATTTAATCCAACTAATATCTTTCTTCAGAATACACCTAGAGTAGCTGGATGTGTGATGATACAGGGTGGAAGAATGGGCCTAGCGGTGAGGCACAAGCGTAGAATTTGAAACTTGGTTTCAGCTCCCTGCTGTACTATCTGCTTCTTGTCTCACCTTCCATAGGGCCCTTTGTGCCTCTGTGCCTCAGTTTCCCCATCTGTAAAATGGGATAGAAGTACCTTGCAGGAAGATTGGAGTTGCTTTGATTGCATGGTAGTGACAGTTATCCAGATTCTTTGGATGTCTGATGTAAGCCATAATTATCAACATACAGTCCCTGTACGTTGGGGTGTCAAATTCATTTGTTGGAAAGATCTGAGTTCCATTTTAAATCATGGTGCACGTAAAGTAATGAAGGTTTAAGTTGTTACTTTTGTTCCATTCTGCAAAATGTAGTGATGGAATGTGCCCACTCTAGGGACTAGAGCAGGGGTGGGCAAAATACGGTCCGCGGGGTGGATCCGGCCCGCAAGGCCATTCTATCCGGCCTGCAGGGTCCTTAAAAATGTAGAAAATTAATATTTCTCTGCCTTTGGTTCCTGTCAAAAATGACAGGAACCAAGGGAAGTAGGACCCAGGGGAAGCCCGGCGGGCTCCAACAACAGCAGGGCCCACCAGGCCCTGGCCCCTAGCCGGAAGTCCCAGCCAGGGTTTCTGGGCTGGGAGCATGTGGCTGCCCCAGAACGGGAAACTCAGGTAAGTGGGAGCGGGGGGACCCCAGGCAAGGAAGGAGCGGGGGGGGGGAAGCAGCCCCTCCCCGTCCACGCCTAGTGCCCCACGCTGCAGCTGCTTGCAACCCATGTGGGGCTGCCTGTGCCTGCTCCAGACAGCCCCACGTGGGCTGTGAGTGCCTACAGCGTGGGATGCCGACCACGGGACAGGGTGCAGCCCACGCGGGGCTGTCTAGAGCAGGCGCAGGCAGCCCCAGGTGGGCTGTGAGTGGCTGCAGTGCAGGGCACCGGGCATGGGGCAGGGAGGGGCTGATTTCCCCACCCCCCACGCTCAGCACCACCTTGTAACCTAGCCCCACTGCCAGGCTGGCAGCGGGGCCAGATTACAAGCTGGTGCTGAGCATGGGGAAAAGTGGCCCCTCGCCCGCCCCATGGCCAGCACCCCGCACTGCAGCCACCTGCAACCTGCATGAGGCTGCCGGTGCCTGCTCCAGACAGCCCCGCGTGGGCTGCAAGTGCCTGCAGCAGGGAGTGCCAGCCATGGGGCAGGCGAGGGGACACTTCCTCATGCTCAGCACCAGCTTCTTCCCTGCTGGCAAGCAGGGGGTCGGGCCTGAGCACTGTGCCCTGCCTGTACCGCGGTGCTGGGGGGCGGTATGAGCGGGCAGGGAGCCAGCAGGAGCACAGGGCCCACGCCAGTGTCCTGGGGCCAGTGCCAACAGGGCCCAGAGCAGGGTGGCAGGAGTGTGGGATCCCAGCTGGCAGGGACTCTATGGAGCCAGGCCAGGTCCCCCCTCCCTGCTGGTGCAGCCCAGCCCGGTTCCACAGACCCCTGCCGGTCTGTGCCCTGCTTTGGGACCCACCAGTGCTGGGCCTGGGACATTGGTCCCAAGATGGTGACCAAGGGGTGAGGCACCTGTCAAGGGGCGGGGCTACCCATGCGGCCCTCGACAGCCTGCCAAAACTGGGTAAGTGGCCCTCCACCCGAAATAATTGCCCGCCCCCGGACTAGGACCTGATTAAGGCAATCTAGCACACTAGATTCAGTGTGAACAGGAACTTCAGTTGTCCTGTCCTCCACTGAGAATGGTGGTGGGTAAGCAGAGAATGAGGCTCTGCTTCTCGTCCAGAGATGCACAGACAGCTGCATATTCATAGGTTGTAGAGTCGGAAGGGACCACAATGGATCATCGTGTTCCCTCGCAGGAAAGAGGACTGAGGTCAGATGACCCCAGCCAGATGACTATCTAGCCTCCTCTTGAAGACCTCCAAGCTAGGTGATAACACCACCTCTCTTGGAAGCCCATCCCAGATCCTGGCCACCCTTACTGTGAAAAATGTCTTCCTAATATCTAACCTAAATCCACTCTCAACTAGTTTACACCCGTTATTCCTAGTCACTCCCTGGGGCGCCTTAGTAATCAGCGCTTCCCCTATTCCCTGTTGACCTCCCCTAATAAATTTATAGGCGGCCACAAGATCTCCCCTCAGCCGTCTCTTGTGAAGGTTGAAGAGATTCAGCTCTCTCAACCTCCCCCCCATACGGTCTATTACGAAGGCCACTAATCATGAGAGTGGCCCTCCTCTGAACCCTCTCGAGATTCTCCACGTTCCTCTTGAAGTGTGGCACCCAAAACTGGACAACTGTAGCCTGACCAGTGCTGCATAGAGGGGGAGCATCACCTCCTTTG